GTGGGGAGGTGGGAGGATGCAGTGGGGAGGTGGTGCAGAGCGGGGGGTGCAGAGATGAAGGGGGCAGAAAGGGCTCCTGGATTGCGGTTGTGAAAGTGGTGTAACCATGAGAGCGGAAGGAACTGATGATGCAAGAGTGATGGGGGCGGGGGCTGGGAGGAAACCCCCTTCCTTCCCAACGGTTCCTGGGGGGGGAGCAGGGAAGGGGGAGAACGGGAGAGGGGCAAGGGGAGGAAATGGAGGGGGGATGGGGGCGAGTGAAGGGGTGGGGCGGTGTGGAATGACAACAGCAGAGGGGATGATAAATAATACATTTTATTTCTAATAAATTATAGAAATACAATACAAATCCTGAGCCCCGCCCCAGTGTCAGGGCAGGACTCGTCCCGGGGGGGTGGGAGGGATCGGGGGCTAGATGGGGGGGGCAGAGCCAATTCTCTGGGCCCCTGGCATGTGGCTGGAGGATCCTGGGAGCTGGGGCTGTAGCAGGACCCCTTCCTGGTTCGGTTCCCTGCGTCGCTGCCATCCGGGCGGGGCTGAGCTGGACTCACTGACTGAGCTGGGGCGTGAGCGGTGCCTTCTCCTTCCCTTGCGGTAGCCCTGGGCAGAGACAGGATCCCCAGTTACAGCTGCCCCAAGCCCCCAGTCAATCTCAGCTCTCTGGATCCCCTGCCATGCTCCAACTGGAAGCCCCCCACTCCAGAGGGGATCCCCTCCCTGACCCCCACTCTTCCTCCCCCTCTCTTCTGGTTGTTGGGGGAGAATCTCTCTCTCTGCCCCCCCCCGGGGATGACACCCCCAATGTCCCCTCTTATCCAAAGATGATGCCCGCCAGCCCCTGCCCCCCATCTGGGGATGACACCTCCCCAGTCCCTGACACCTCACCTCCCTCCTCGCTGCCAGCACTGGGGAGTCTCTGCCCCTCCTGGGCCTCCCAGGGGGCAGCAGCCTCCTCACGGGAGCCCCCCAGGAAGGCGAGGGGGCGCTGGCGCTGGCGGAAGCGCTGCCGGGGGGTGGCGTCCCCAGGCCCGAAGGACTCGCTGACCAGGACGCGGGAGCTCAGCTTGCGCCGGTTTAGCCGCAGGTGCACCCGCTGGGCGTCGGGCAGACTCAGCACGCTGCTGGCCTTGCGCAGGGGCACAGGCGAGGCAGGGGCGCTGGAGTCTGTGGGCAAAGCAGGGGTTAGTGGGGCAGGGGATGGTGAGTCCTGCGTGGGAGCACCTTGCACTGCCATCCCGGATGCCTGGGTCCCATCTCCTGTCCTGATCTCTCCTCCCCACACCCCACAAGGTGGAGGGTCCCGGACACTCACCTCCATCAGGTGCGCGCCCATCCTGCCCAAGTCCCGGCAGGTTCTCAATGCTATTGGCCCCCTGCGCCAGGGGGCGCTGCTGTTCCCGGGAGGGCTCACGCCGCGGCTTCATCAGCTTCTTCATCTTGTCCGCGATCCAGTTGCTGCTCTTCCTGCGGGGTGGAGGAAGAGAGAGGGTCACATGCTTCCTGGCAGGAGTTGGGGGGCCTAGGCCAGCCCCCCCCCAAGCATCCTGGGGGATTCCACCCCCCCAACACTGACCCATGCAGGGACACTCAGGTCAACTGTCAGGGAGGGTCCCTGGTTCAGGCTGGCCCTGGGGGTCCTAGGCTCTGGGGGGTGTATCCCTAGTTTGAGGAAAAAGCGGGGTCCCCTGGCTCAGGCCAGCTTTGGAGGGTTGGTGGCTCAGTCTGTTTCAGAGGATGGGGGGCCCAGGGTGGCAGAGAAGGGTCCCTGGCTGAGGGGGCAGGTGTGGAAGTCCATGGCAGTGGGAGGGTCCGTGGCTGGGGCTGGTCCCTGGGGGGTCCGTAGCTGCGGCCAGCCCGGAGGGGGGGGCACTCACTTGCTCTTAGGCAGCGCTGGCTCCAGCACCCGGTACTGGTCCATTATCTTCTCCACCAGCTTCTGTTTCTCCCGGCGCAGCTCATTCAGCTTATCCCTGGGGGTGAGCACAGGGCAGCGTCTGAATCTGGGGGTGAGCTCCCTGCCCACTGTAGTCCCCAGCCAGACTGCCCTGCGCCCCCGACACCCCCCAGACAGCCTCACCAATCTGCCCCCTCCCTGCACACCTCCCCCACTGGCCCGAGGGAGGCACTCGGGGGGCACTCACAGGTGCTGGCGCTGCTCCGAGTGGTACTGCTCCCGGCTCTCCATGCTGCGCTCCAGCAGGCTGCGGTTCTCCTGGCTCAGTTTCTGGATCTCCTGCAGCAGGTGTCGGTTCTCCTCCTCCTGGTTCCCCTTCAGCTGGGCCAGGAGCTGGGAGGCAGCAGAGCTATTGATAGGACAGGCCATGCCCCTCTGGGCTCCCCCTCACAGAGGGAGGGGGGCTGGAGGTGCAGAATGGGGAAAGTACTCTCTGATCAGGGGGTTCAGCAGGGAGGACCAGCTCCCATTGTTTGCTTGGAGCAGGGGGAGCTGGGCTGTGGATGGTGTGACAGAGTGAGAATTGGATGAATAGTGGGCTCCCCTATGTAGTGCCTGGTTAACTAGGTGGAAGGAAAAGATGGTTTACCCCTTGCAGAGACCCAGAGATGCAGGCGTCTCTGATGCCTGGGGTCTGGGCCCAATGCCCATGGAGAGTCCCAGAAGACAAAGGCCAGTCCAAGTGCCCGGACATTTGGCACCTGGCAACTAACGAACATGGATGGCCCCCCCTCCTTAGGGAGCCAGCCAGGTGTGACCAGCTGGAGGACAAAGGGCTCAGGAGGAGGGCCAGGTGACAATGGTTGCCAGGAACAGGACAAAGGACTGGGGAGGGGCCAGGTGGGGTTAAGTGTGGGTGACTGGGACTAAAGAGGGGGGGTCAGGGGGCTCTGGACAGACCCAGAAGGACTTTGCTGTAACTTTCCCTTCTCTGTGTTAACGAAGGACTTTCTAGGCTGTGTTCCAGACATCTAATAAACCCCCCTGCTGTGACAGCGCTGGCTGAGTCACTCCAGTTTAAGGAAATCGGGGGGGGGGGGGGGTGTGCTGCTCCCTTTGAGTGTGTCAGTCTTCCTCAGGTGTCCAGTTCAGGTGGACTCGCTGAGGGGAGCTCGCAGCATGACCCAGGGTTGCTGAAGGCTCCGAGGTTCGACCCAGGAGGTGGTGAAGCCAAGAGGCCTGCCCTAGCGAGAGTGTGACCCTCGGGGGCTGACACACTGAAGGGGTCCTCCCAGAGACTGCTCCAGAGCGCTGGAGCTGTGGATCCGTAGCAGGTGGCTACCGGGTGGGGGGTCTGGCGGTATCGGGGGTCTGCATGGGTCTCCAACAAAGGGTGCAGTGGGGGAGAGCTGGGCCGGGAAGAGAAAGGTATCGGGCACGGTGCGT